TGTTACTTAATTCAAAAGCATTATATAATATATATATATTAGAAAATATCAAAGTTTCAAATTTTTTTATTCTAAATGTAATTAAGAGGTAAAATGAAATTAGGAGTTTTAGTTTCTTATGTTTACTATTTTATTTTGTGTTCTCTTTTGTTAAGATTTCTTTTTCTTATTTTTTAGTTTTGTTTTCCATTATTTTCTCTTACATTTTTGTTTCTTAGTTTCAAGCCATTTTTAATACAATTTTATAAAATTTAAAAGTCGCAGTCAAATTTTATATAATTGAGTGTGATCACACACCTTCCAATGAAACACTGTGGGGTATTTTAATTGTTAAAATAAATTGATAGGTAGCACCAACAAAAACATAACAGCTTAATTGTAAAATGAGTAACTTAATTGTAAAAATTATAGAGTAATTTAATTGTAAAACCAGTAAAAGAATTCCCTGACTAGTTGATTAAAAAAAAAATTACCTGAATTTTTCCAGGTTTTCCAGGTACAGTACAATCCCTGTACTATACTTTACTTTGATATATTTTATCAAACAAAAAATTACCAAGTCTTTCAGTAACAGATTTTTTTAGGTTATGAATCAGCACATAATTCTTACATATTATTTACTTGATGAAACTTTATTTTAAATTTTAATCCAAGAATTATTGGTATAGGCAGTGCGCAAGTTTCTTTTTATCTGCCACTTTTTTTTGTTATATTTTCAAATAGGGTTAAATATGTATAAGTCGCCATAAGCACTTTTTGTTTTAACATTCTTTGTAGTATTTCAAATAAAGATTTCAACAAGTTTGAACATTTTATTTTATAAAATGGTATAAAATTATTTTAATTGCTGCTGAATTAATTTTAATTTTGCAAAATCTACTGAAAAATTAAAATATGTTATTATTCCTCTGAAGTTAAAATGTCAGTTTTGGCTCAATATGGAGTCATGAATACAAAGTTGAAAATTATGGATAAAGTATGGAATATAGAATCATCAGTACAAAGTTGCAAGGCATGAATTAAGTATGGAATTAATGCTACTCCACTGTTTATTCTAACTTTTATATTATTTGCATTTTCCCTAACAATAAGATGAACGCTGCATAAAGGAACTGTTTGCCAGTTTTAAATCAGCTAATACTAGCTTGGAGGATAAGCCTGGAAAAGGTCAGTCATCAGTTTTTACAGACTCTTATGGCAGCCGAGGAAAAGGACAAGAGCCTGACAACAAGAACACTGGCTAAAGACTTCAATGTTAATTAATCCATGGTCATTCGTTGCCTCAAAAAGCTTGGAAAACTGTGGAAAAACGCTGGATCACTCCCCACGAGCTTTCCGACAACAACAGAGTCATTTGCATTTACATTTTCACCTAGTTACAACAGCAAAACAAACACTCTTTTTATAGAATCTTGCAAAGGAAGAAGGCTTGCATTTAGCCAGGTATTTTCCTTAAAGGAATAGCACATGTCCACTGTGAGAAGGCTATGTGATGTGTGTGGTGGGACAGAAGTGGAATTTTCCATTGGGAGGTCATTTCAAATGATATTTGTTATTGGTTTAACAATTTGGACGACAACAATGGCGAAACCGGAACAAAAACGGCTAGTGGCAGTTTAACATCAACAGCAACATCTACCTGGCTAAGCTTGATTGCCGTCAAGCTGCAATTAGACTTTAAGCTGCAATCATGCAGGCAAAAAGACTGCACAAAAAGAATCATATATATACAAACCAAGAAAAAATTGGCAGCAAAAACTCCACCACTATAAGGTCATCCTTAAATGCTGTGTTATCGAATTTATTGCAAATAAAGTCTGGGATCTGCTTCCACATCCGCCATACTCACCAACCGAAGCATCTACAGACAATCATGTCAAGCACTCTTTGAAAAATTAGCAAATGAATAAGATTTACAACAATTTTGATAACTTGGTGGCAATGATAATAATGTCAAAGTGTGGATCGCTTCGAAACGTTATGTCTTCTTTGCTCATGGAATCAAATGTCTGCCAAGCAAATAGGAAGCATTGATTGAAGTAGATGGTGATACAATCCCTAATAATTGTTTTTTTTGTTTTTTTTTTTTCAAATATTGTTATTGATTTTGTTAAATAAAGTTTGTTGAAAAAAATGCAGGATAATTATGATAATTAAACCCAATAGTTTATAATTGGGTTAAATATCTTTTATCAGTTCATTGAATCCTAACAATAGAAAATGATTAAATACCAGGTGTGATCAGTTTTTCTACTATTTTATTGATATGAAGAGATTGAGATTTGAAGTCATTGATATCCCATTGTTTTTTTTTAAAAACCTAAATAATATAACTATGTAGTAAAAGTAAGGCAAGGCAATTGAACTTTTTTTTTTATATATTTCAAACTCTTACCAAGTCCCCAGATCTGAATCAGGTACCCAAAAAATCTTCATTCAAAACAGTGTTTACATAATTTTAATATATTGCAATTAATTACATATTATCAATATCTAAATTATTTGAAAATATCCTTAATAAAAATTTTTTATTTAAATTTATTGTTTTATAAACAGTTTTGATTTTGAATTTTTTTTTGTTTTTTTGTTTACTGCCAAAAGTACATTAAATAGCTTTTGGTTTGCTGGTATAAATATAAAAATTTTATATTATTGTCACATATTATCTTCTTCATGTTATAACTTTTGTGGTTAAAATGATCAAAAAATTAAATTATGATCAAAAAGACTATTATCAAAAAATTAGAAATGTTTAAAAACATAAAAAAGACTTTTCTTTAAATAAACTGTGTGGCTAAACAATAACCCTCAGTAAGCCTATGCTAAATCAGTTTATTTATGTACACTAGACTTGGTTGTTTTTAAGGGGTGGAAAAATGATAAGTTTACTACCTTCTTATTTTATCTTGTTTTATGTTGTTATACAACGCATTTCTAAAAAAAAACTTTTCTGACTTCCCTGGGAGTTATTTATATATAAAGAATTTAAAAAAGATCAACTTTATGCAATTCAATTGAAACCAAATAATACTTAAATATTTTTGTGTGAGCTAATTTTACTACTAGGACTGTATAAATTTTCAGCTCAAAATTTTGATAGGTTCTTGTGATAAATTTTGGAATAAAATATTGACAAACTACATGCTGTTGTGTCAGCACAAATTTCAATTATAAAAATTCTAAACTTTTTTATAATATTAAAACAAGATAATTATTAATGACTACCAGATGTTTACTTGATTAACCAGATTTTTATTTAATTAGCAGCTCATCATGCTGTCTTTATTTTTAAAATTATTAAAAAAAAAAAAATCTAAGCTAAAATTTTTCTTGTATCTTTTTATTTTTATTATTTTTACATTTGTACTTTATTTTTCCCAAATTTGCTGATTTGCTAACAAATACTTTTCTTATTTCTTCTACTTTTGTATTTCCACTTCATTAAGATAATGCCGATAATCCAGTCTTGTATTGTTTCTTATTAGTTGGTTGATTTTTATTACCCTTATAGTTATCAATTCTTCATTATAACAGTTTTCTGATAAATTGAAATTCTTCATTATAACAGCTTTCTGATAAATCCATCATTATTATAATCTCACCTGAATAAAATGTTTTAACTCACCTGAATAAAATGTTTTAAATTTATGTGGTAGAATACTCTCTTTGTTTACGAACATTGGGTTTTGCAATAGTCCCTGTTGGAAAACCATTTTAATATTGTTTTATCCATTTTTTTAATTATCATAGTTCTTCTCGAAGTCATCATTTTTAATTATTTCATAAAGATTTGAATATAATTAAAATTAATTTTTTTTTTAATCTCAAGCCTTTTGTTATTCCATGTTTTTTACTTATATTAAGAATTTTTTTAATCCATACTTTTTTTTTTTAAGTATTGTACCTTGCTTTATTTTAAATCATATACCTTATTGAGTAAACAAATTTATTATGTATTAGTATTTAATTTCATAAAAAGTTTAGTTTTTTTAGTTGATGAAATTTACCCCCTATTTTATAAAATTGTTTCCTTATAGTTTTTAAAAATGTTATTAATAAACTTACGGAGATATTAAAAACGTGAACAGCTTATGTTTCAAATTTTAATCTTTCTTTTAGAATTTTAAAAGAAAATTTTAAAAAGAAATGAAAAGAAAATTTAAAATAGAGATTTCCATAAAAACATATAACCGAAAAATAAGTTGGCAAAATTTTAGATTTTTCAATCCCTAAAAACAAACCCACCTAATCCACACTCCCCTACACCTACGACTTAATCAGTTAATGTATGTAATCTCATTGCTCCTATTCCTAATTAATCCAGTCAATAAAACAAAACAAAAAAAGAGAGATAATACAAGAAAATAAAGAATAAAAATAAAAATAAAATAAAAAAAGAACAAAAATACAAGAACAGAAAATAAGTAAAGTAAAACAACAAAAACAAATAAAAATTAAGAACGAAAACATTGATTAAAAAAACCAACCCTTCTAATCAATAAGGTAATATTTTTATGGTTTTTAATATACAATTAAATTTAATTGGTTTCCTCAATTATTTTATTTAAATTTAATTGGTTTTCTTATTTATTTTATTAAAACTTATTTTTTTTAATTTAATTGGTTTCCTTAATTATTTTATTCAAATTTGCAGCATACTTATGCTAGGAAGTATAAATATTTTTTTAGAAAATCTCAGACTGAAAAAATAAATATACTTTAGAGTTTGAAGCAAACTATTTAAAAAATATTATGTAATAAATAACATGACAAAATAACTAAAGTAAAACAATACAATTAATATATTAATCACGATAATTTGGATTAAAACAAAATTCTGAATAAACAAAAAAAACCTAAACAAAATTCTTAATTATAAATCAAAATTTTAATATTAAACTATTTTACAACAACTTCTTGTTTTACAAGCAATTAGTAAGGAAAAAAAATCAACTTCACAAAAAAAGAAACTAAACCAAAAAGAAACAAGTAAATCCTACTTGAGGCATTCTATGACAGAAAGTTGCTTGTGTGTTTGAACAAGCATGGTGACCATTATGATATAAATGATGATCAGACAACCCTGCTCTAGAATTTGTTGTATAGCCAACTAAGTCTTGACCAGATGCAGTCTGATTAAACACTTGAGAGAGTGGTGAAGCAGGTGTAGTATTTGTTGCACTGTGGTATGTTAACCCAACTGAAAAATGTCATCTTATTAAAATATATTTTTATGTAAAGAAAAATTTTTGTTATTATTTAATAAAATATATACCAGTGTTAAAATTATTTTGTTCATATTCCTGACCACAATCATTTGAATGTAATACATCAGTTCTAATTGTTGTTGGTGTCTGTACGGGAGTATATTCTGAAAAATATTGGTCATTGCCGCGTCGGTGGTCAGAAACATTGATAAAACCTTGATAGTTTGATGTATAACCTAAATATTTTTACTCATAAATTTTAAAAAAAACTATGATACAGTCAGCAAAAACAAAAAAATAAAAACTAACCTCTTCCACGCCCAAAATGCACCGAATCTAAAAGTCAAAACAAATAAATTATCTTTAGTCCAAAAATTAAAAGAATATTTTAAAAATTATAAATAAGTCATTTGGTTTTAAAATTTAAATAAAAAAAGTCTGATATATAAATGTTTTAATTTATAAATATAGGTAACTGATTTTTTTATTTATCTCACATTTAAATATTTATATTCCTATACAATGCAATTATTTAACTGCAATGACCAGTAAAAAAATGTATGAAAAACTAGAAAAAAAAAAAAATTACTTGCTAAGTGTTGATAAATTTGTGGGTTACAAGTCCAATCTAAAATTAAAAAAAAAAAAATTAATTTAACCAAATCAAAACATCATTATAATTGTTACAATATTTCTTTTTAAGTTTAAAAAAAAAAAAAAAACTAACCAGAGGAATGGGTAAAATAAAATACTTACCAGGAAAACCAAATCCAATAGGTACAGTTGATAAACCATTATGATATCCACGGCCGATGGAAAAAGGAGCAAGGTTTACTAAAAAAATTTGCTTATATCACCAAAAAGATAGGAATATCTAGTACAAAAATTACTTTTAAAAGAGTGAAAAATTAAGAAACAACCACCTAACTATAACTATTAAACTATAACTAATTCTCATTAGGTAATTATGTTATTATAAGTATACTTGTCAAGATTAAATATAAGATTTTGCGATAAAATTGGTAACTAAAATATTGCTAAAAAAGTAGAGTTGAAATTGAGTATAAGCTAAAAATAGAACAAGCAACTTTTGCAAAAGTTAACAACTAATTATTAAGTAACCAATGCAAGTACCTTGCATAGTGCCTATATGTAAAGTACCTACACTGAATATTACCTTCAAGTAACCACTGCATTTTGAACTTTTCACTTTTCATAATTTATATATACATAAGTTAAAATAACATTTATTATAACAAGTATATATTACATATACTTGTTTATATATAAATTTATAAAGTGTTTTAGAAAAACAAATTTATTTTAATTATCTTACTTATGTTTGAAAAAAGTTATACAATACCAGAAATGTATTATATGAAATCAAAAAAGAAAGCATAAAAAGGTTGCATTAGAAAACATTCAGAAAAACAACCTACACTATCATAAATTTTTTAAATAAAAAATACATAGCATCCAAGAGCATATATATGTGATTTTATATATATATATATGTATATATATATATATATATATATATATATATATATATATATATATATATATATATATATATATATATATATATATATATATATATATATATATATATATATATATATATACAACCCTTGGAATTAGGAAAAATGAGGTAGGCAATAAATTGCCAATCTCAAACTGTTAGAAGTCAGCATCAGGTTGGCAAAAAAATTTTACACAAAGGGGTCACCATAAAACATAGAAACGAGGTTGGAGATTTTTTGCTGACCTCAAACATTTTCAGGTCGGCTGTTAGGTCAGCATTGCTAAATGTTGACCCTAATTCCAAGGGCTGTATATATATATATATATATATATATATATATATATATATATATATATATATATATATATATATATATATATATATATATATATTATATATATATATATATATATATATATATATATATATATATACATATATATATATATATATATATACATATATAGCCTGAAGTAACACAAACTCAAAAATTACTTTAAATATTATTTAGCAATTTTAGCTAACTGTTAAGGCATTTCTCAAAATGTTGCTCAAAAAACCTAATTACTCACAAACCATAAACAATCAGACTAAATTAACTCTGAAATAAAACTTTATTTGAAGTAGTTTAATTTATGATTTAGATTTTAAAATGTTGTTTCCATGGCTATCAAGAAATTGTTACACATGCTTCCCTATGATCCAATCAAACTTTGTTTCCATCATTTTATTGTAAGACATTAGAAATGTACACTTTTTGTAAAGAAAAGAATATCTTGTAGTAAATTCTATGGTCAACTAAAAAAATCAAAAGGTGTAGAACATAAAACACCATGCATACTGTCTCCAAATTGAGACCAATGATATTTATCAGTGTTTTGCATGCTTTTTTCATGCAAACAAACTTGTTAATTACCTACATTACCAACCAACCCTTGGCTTTTACCTTGCAACATCATAGCTTCTTTTGGCTGAGCTCTCTTGCATTCAACCTAAACATATAAATTAAGTCCAGAATAGCCAATGAAAAATAATAATAATGGAAAAATGAGTATAGCTGAAATTTAATTAAAAAAATATTGGCAACAATCAAAATTTGAACTAAATTAATGTCTCTGCCTTTTTTTTTTTAGACAATTAAAAACCTTTTAAAATAATTTCATAATTTTTATGATGACCATAAACAACTTTTTGTGATAAGGTTGACACAACCATCCAGTCGTAAAAATCTGTTCTAACTCCATAATGACAAATACAAATACAAATAAAGTGACATTATGGAAAATAATCCAACTCTGTAGCATTTACTCAAAGAGGAAGAATAGATCTGAGATTTCTTATGATAACCATGAACAACATCATGGATTTGAGATTTCTCATATTATTATTCAATTATTAAATCAATATAAAAAGAAACTAATTTCTATTAACTATATTTCTATTTGCTAACATAAAACACCTAATAAAAAAAAAGTGAAAAATATTATGTATATAAAAATAAATCATTCTTTGATATAATTAATTATATATAATTATTATAATTATTATAATTAATATAACAAAGTCACAAAAATATGTTTGCAACAAAACAGCTAACTACCACAATCCAACTACAACAAAATATAATGATATACAGCAATTCCACATGCCTCAATGTTTTGCTTTTATGAAGGAAATACAATTTTATAATATCTATGTGTATAAAAAAATTTTTAAATTTATATTGTTTTGGTAAAAAAATATGTTTCTTTAGGATAATTTTATATTTATTTTTTACTTTTTAAGTTATTGCACAAATAAGAGAGTTGGGGCCAAACAAATCGATGTCACGTTGTGACGCACATATTTTGAGCTATATCTGTAAAAATATAAATAAAAATTATGAAAAGTTTAGTTTTTATAATACAGTTAGACTATTTCAATATTATATTAGAATTGATTTTTTTTTTTTTTTAATGTAAACACCGCAAACCTTTGTTTTTTCAATTAAAAACCCATAAAAGCATCATGGAATTGCTTCAATAATATTCAACAACATTCAATTATATCTTCAACAACATTCAATTATATTATATCTTCAACAACATTCAATTATATTATATCTTCAATAACATTGCTATAATGACTACAATAGCAGGATTAAACATACACAACACAACTATCATAATACATCTACAACATCTACAATAACACACCTACAATGACACAACTACAATAACACACCTACAATGACACAACTACAATAACACACCTAAAATGACACAACTACAATGATACAGCTACAATAAAACACCTACAATGACATAACTACAATAAAATATACAATAATGCAATTAAAGTAACTCATACATAACAGCAATACATCTAAAACAATACAACTATAACAACACAACTTTATTTACTTTTTATCACATAATTGAAAATATTGCTTTTCTGCAATGTGGTAATCCCAGTGCTTACAATAACACAATAACAATAAATCTTTAATGACAACTACAAAAAAACATCAAGAACAAGAAAAAATACTACTACTTTAAAAACATAATCCCAGTACAACCATAGAGCAATGCTGTCTTGATAAAAAAGAACACAGTATTTGCAAAATATTCATTTTGCATAATTTGTAATAAAGTAAACATTCTTATAAAAATTCCTGCAGATACTGTGAAATTAAAGCATCTAAAACAGATACTTAGAGATCACATACTGTGTTCTTACTTAAACACCAGGTCAAGAAAATAATAATGAACAGTAATACCCCCAAAAAAAAACTTTTAGAAATTGAGTTACTGCGTTATTTCTTATCAGGGCAGAATATATCTAGTAATACAATGCATTCATAAAATTATAATTATAAAAATTAAATTTAAGATTTAATTTTTATAATTGTATTTATAAGAGAGGCTTCAGTAATATAACTACAACCTAGTTTCCCTATTTTTAATGATAACGCAAATGTTGTTGACATGTTCATATATTGAACTATGACTACAAACAAACATTTATAGCTTTAATTTTTTGAAAAATCAAATTTAAAAACAATGAACATAAACTTTTTAAAGTAAGCTATTAAGTAGCAATTTGTAATTAGTATTACTTAAGATTGTGTTTAACTTTTTATGTGTACTTTTATTTTTAATAATAATTTAGTCTAACAAGGCTCTAACAAAGCAACCACTATTTAAGTAAAGAGTTACCAAAAAACAAAGAATATTTTTAAGAAACAAGGAAACAATTGACAAAAGACTTGAGTAGTTGTAGGTTGTATGAGTTGTAAAAACTGGAAAATAAGAGAGAGCTCCAAAGCATTAATGTGCAAGTATAGAAACTTGATAAATATTTTTAGAGCATAAAGAGACAGATAAAGTAAAAAGATGCAACTTTGCTGAACAACAAGTTAAACAAGAATAAGTTTTGCTTAATAGAACTAGAGATAATTCATTTGAGCAGCTTGATATATATTATATATGCCACTACCCCCCCCCCCTCCCTCTTTTAATAAAAAAAAATTCAAACAAAATATTAAATGAAAGTTTTTTTTTAACTTTATGCAAAATAGCATTGCAACCTTATCTCTTCCCCAACCTCATCTATTTACCAACAAATAATTCCATTATGTCAGTGTTTCATCACTTTATATCAAGTTTGTATAAACCATACAAAAACCAATTGTGAACACAAAGTTAAGAAAAATGTTTCTTTTTTTAATTTCAAAGAAATGGAAAATAAATTTAAAAAATAAATAAATAAAATAAGATCAAATAACGTCTTATTTTGTCCATTCAGAAAATGTTTAGCTTTAGTAAGCCTTTAAATTTTTAACAAAAAAGGCAACAGAGCTATGTATGCTTGTTTCAGTTTATCAGACAATTCGATCATTGATCTAAACATATGGGATGTAACACACATAAAATTAAATATTTCTATTTTTCCATATAATTAAACTTTAACTAGCCTTTAATATTTCAATTTCTCTAAGTGAACATGTCTTAAATGAACAAACAACCATGTAAACATGTTTTAAATGAACTAACAATCAGGAAGTTTGGCTTTGCAACTCAGAATTTCAGAAATTTTTCTTTTATCATGTTTATATACAATATTGAACTGTTATGGTTTTTTTTGAGATCGTCTAGTGTTTCTGCAAGAAACTTTTGATTTGCAATTGCCAATGTTTCTGTCACATTTTATAGAGGTGTAATACCTATACAGAATGTGACAGAGTTCTAATTGGTAATGAAACAATAATGTTGTCAAGTTTTTCAGTTTTATAAACTAGATAATAAAATCAAATAAAAAAACTTTTCATTTTGTATTTTGCCTAGCACATAAATTTCAAATCAATTTGATATCCTTTACATTTGAGATTTATAATTTCATGCAGCAATAAAACATACAACATCAGACCATCTGTTTCCAACAGTTTCATCATAGCAATAAAAATATAATTTTTGAATTTAAAGTAAATTAGTGTTAAAAAAATAAAACAGGTATTGCCTGGAATAGTACAAATATCGGTTTCAAATGTTTAGGCTTTTTTTTTTTGGGGGGGGGGAAATCTAAGCAAAATTCTTCAGAATAAAAAAGATCAGAATCAGAATATTATAGAGTTTTGTACTTTTTTAGGATACAAAATTGTATTTATATAAAAAAACTCATATACACCTTAAGATTCATATAATTCATAATATGAATTCATAATTCATAATATGAATTAAAATAAAAGTTGAAATAATTCAAGAGAAAATTTGTCATTATAAAAAAAAAACTTATTTGATATATATATAAAATAAGTTAAATCGACTAACTTTTTAGTTAACTAAAATTACCCAACTAACTTTTTAGTTAACTAAAATTACCCGACTAACTTTCTATTTAACTAAAATTACCCGACTAACTTTCTAGCTAACTAAAATTACCTGACTAACTTTTTAGCTAACTAAAATTAGTCAACTAACTATTTAGTTAACTCAAATTAGTCGACTAAATATTTAGTGTAAATAAATTTAGTTGGCTAAAGCAAGATTTAGTGCTTGAAAAAAAAAAAATCTTTTGCATAAAAATTTTACACACAAGGAAGCTTTATTAAGGCGATAAATATTATTTTATCGTAATTAAACACTTTACTAAATGTGAATCCTAGAGCCCAGTCAAACTAAACTGTTATTCAAAAGAAAGGTTTTAAGCAAAATTCGATTATTTTTCTTTTTTCCCAGCTCGGAGACAACTGCCTATGATGTTGTTGCAACTGTTTATAAACACTCAATTAGCATGGAATATACAAATAATGCCCTTTATTCAAATAAATCAAATTTGGTATGCTTATTGAACGTTTAACTTATATTTTTTATGTGCTGCTTCCTATAGGTAGTGTGCAATAACAATCGCATATCAAAAATGATCACTCCTGCCAAGGCTTTACCAACATGAGTATGGGCACCTTCCCAGCGTTACAACATTCTGTCGGTTTTGTCGATAATTTGGAAAATTTGAGACTTGGTCGGTTAAAACTGCAATTTGGCTTTTAAATAAAAAAAAAAGCCCTACTTTGGTGAGATTTTTATGGTAAAAAAGCTTATTTCATTTGCACCCCCTCCCCTATGTCTTTGTAGTTCAGTACAGCCCTGTCCCCTGCCATATTATAGGAATGGATTCAATCTCTAGTTTTCACAACAAATCTACAACTCCCCCTCCCCACCCCTTCAAATATCAACCTCTCCTAAAGACTATTATAACCCGCAAACACTACAGTTAGGCAGGCGAAAGTATTGACATGAACCCAAAAGGTAATCATTAAATAAGTTATTATGAATATATTTATTGCATTCAGAGTATAGTTGTTCGTTGATTGGCGATACTTGCAAAATTTAAAAGGAAGATTGGTATTTGCATTTTTGAATGCAATATCCGTAAGTTGTTGAATAGTGTATAAAATGTATTAAATAATACTTAACTGTTGAATAACCAAAACATTTTATTAAGTAACTGCGGT